AAGTGAGCAATTCTCAGACATGTTCCCAGGGTAATAGGATCAAGACCAGCTGGGAACTTGTTAGAAGGGTGGAAATTCTCAGATCCCCTCTGGCCCACAGCATCTCTGGGATGGGGCATCAGAGTTCTGAGGCTCACTGAAATTTTGAAACAGTTGCTTTAGAGTGTGGATTTCCCCAACCGCTTATCTTCCTTTGAAAATACAAACAACAATGATCTTGGAAACAGCTCTGTGCCTGGTCTTTTTTCCTTATTGAAATGTGAGATCCTGCCCTCAGATATCTCCCAGGCATCTTTTTGAGCTTCCCAATTCTTATTTCTACCTTTTCTCTCAACAGGTGGCCATTGAGGGTTTAAAGATGCCTAAAGGTCATGTCTAAAAATCCTTCCTTTACTCTTTTAAGTTATTTTATCCTTTATGAGAATATTGAGTAAGTACTACAAATTTGAGTAGAACTGTTTGAACAATGCCTGTCGTAATGTGCTGATCTTATTGCTTGGATTCTCATAACCCTTGAGTGTGGAAGTCCATCCCCAGACTGCTTTCACTGGAGTTCCTTGCTCTGATTGTATCAGAGTGATTTTGGGATAGCTACTGAATCTCTCTGTGCCTCAGTTTCCTCATCTGCAAAATGTGGATAATATAGAGTATATCTCAAAGGTCAGCTATGTTTATGTCAGTTACATGTGAAATTCATAAACTCTGAGGCAGTACAAGCAACACATAATTGTAGAGGTTATTTGTGATAGATTTGTAATGAGTTGTTTTTTCAAGGATCAGCAGGTACAGTTGGCTTGGAGTGTAAAGATTGCAAATATCTGAAAGAGTTTGCAAGAGATCAGAAAGTTGTCATTAACCTTCCTCAACTTGCCTCTTGGCTCTCTCTTAGTTAACATCAGAAACACCCCCCACCAACAACTGCTACTTATTAAAGAGGGTCCAGGACACTGCCACAACACAGCAGGAAGGAACCAGAGTTTAGAAGTGGGCTTTCAAAGTCCTGCCCTGAGCTCTCTTTCCTGCTGTTCAGAGGACCTGTGGAGGAATCCTATGGTGATAGAAAAAAGCAAGAAGCTGTGGAACTCCACTTTCTTCTGAAATGTAGGTACATTATGAGGAAAGTAACTCTCCTCAGTCAGCTTCAATGTTCCTCTGGGTTTCTTTGTTGCTCATGGGTTCTGGAACTCTGTGAAATGTATGAACCATCACTGCCCATCAGAGGTGGCTTTTATACAGCTTCTCCCTTCCATTTATACTCCATGCCCACTAAAGAGGCCCAGGGTAAAGAGTAAGTTAAGTTTGGGCACAGCCTTCCACCTGGGAGTATGCTCATAGAAGAGGCAACAGTCTTTACAAGGGCCCTGTGGCCAGGCCCCTCACAGCATGTTCTGGCCAAGAAGGGTGGCGTCACCAGCCACTTCTAGACCTTGTGGTGAATTTCGCTGGCTGCATGTACCCTCAGTCTGCAGTTTTCTGTACTTTTGAAGGCAATGGTGGTTTTAAGGAATTGCATTAACATCTCACATTTCCTAAAGCTGATCTGCTTGAGAAAGTGCAATTCTACCTTCATGTTTTGACTGCTCCCACTTGACATATTGTCCAAAAGATAAGATTTCCCTTGCTTCCTTGTGTCTATTACCTGCCTATTATTATTATTGTTATTATTATTATTACTATATATTTTATATATTTTTTTAATATCAGGAATTGAACTCAGGTCCTTGAGCTTGCAAGGCAGACAGCAGAGCCACTGAGCCTGGCCCACCTGCCTGTTATTGACAGGGTATCGCTCTTGAGGGAGTCCCACCAAAATAGAACCGAGAAGTACTGAAAGCAGTGGCATAGCACTGCACCAGCAATGAGTTCATGGCAGACCCAGTGAGTTCTCTGTCATCTATATGAGATGCTTGCTTACAGAGGGCAGTAAGATTTAGCATTTCAGAACAAACAGCAATTTGATTTTACCAACATGTCTGAGTCCATTCATTAAACAAGATGCTTCTAGCAAAAGAGGTCTTTTACAGTCATTTGATAAGACCTGGTAAAATGTTATCAGTGTACTTTGCAGATATGGAGAAATTAAATGAACTTAATACAGGTTGTAAACCTCTTAGCATATCAGGTATTTTCCAATTCATTGCTTTAAAAGAAATTGAGAAAGGAACTAATTGAGTTGTCAGCTGTGAGATGATCGAAGTAATTTTTAAGGTATATTACTATGTGATTTTTGCTGTATATCTTAGAAACCGTTCAAAGAATTGAGTGTCATTGCTGTACAAAATTCTCATTTCCATCTCTGTGTTTATGTGAATGAGGTTTCTCTGAAAGCAAAAACAAGAGCAGAAAAAAAGAGCAGAATTGATCCTAAACACTCTCACTCTAGCAGTAAATGATATTTGTGTTTGTAGTATTATAAAAAGCTTCTTAATGTAATTAAAATTATATTTACAGTAAAATATAACTTTTATGTTTAATTATTCATTAAAATTTGCCATATATTAAGTTGCTTTATCAATTTTATATTTGTAATGATAACTCATTGTCAGTAAAATATTGTTACTTAGAGTTTTATGGTCATAGCCCATAAAAGAAATTGAAGTTTCAATCTGTCTCTCTATTGTTGCAAATAAATATGATAGGTGATCGATAAAAGATTTTTGAGTGTAAAATATGTCCTACAGACAGGAAACATTTAATAGAAGTACAAGTTCAAGTTTAAAAGCAACAATACACATTTTTCTTTACTTTTAAATAAAAGCTTATTGATGGGCTTTGAAAGTACACAATTATGAGTATCGGTTACTGCGCTTTCAAAATCCCCACTGCACATGTATTGTATAGATATACAGATGTGTACCTTTGCAGCCATATATGCTCACACACGTAGAGGAATTCTGTTACATTGCTTAGTTTAAAATGAAAATTTTCTCCACAAACCAAAAGTGAATCATTTAAAACTATAGTTTAAATACACTTTTATGTCCATGTACAAAATCTTAGTGATCTAAAAGCAGGAATATCCATGTGTCACCAAGATGTGTGCGACTGTTGAGACCAGAAGGTGACCGACCCTCTTCGCTCTGTCCCATTTCACCTTCTACTTCCAGGCTCCTTCCTCCTGGAATTCTGCCACGAAAGCTTCATTCTCCAAGTGGGCATCACCATATGTGTTCCCCTAAGAAAGGCTTTTGAAAGTGAGGAGCAAGGAGGGATCTTTAGGGTATTAGTTTTCACAGAGAAAATAGAAAATTATTGTAGAATGAGGCAAACTGAGCAGAAAGTAAAACAAGTCCCCCGAGATGTGGCAGTGTGGCTTATACCAATACCATGCTGGTGAAGGAAGGAAGGAAGTACTGTGCTGTCCCTAAATTATTGCATCCCCATTGTGAATGCAACTGGGCCCTGAAACCACTCTGAACTTCGACTGGGAATGGCAGTAAATTTTATCTGTAACAACTGGTGTGGAGAGGTGCTCATAGTCAAATTGAAAAAAGAGGAAAGGTTTCACTAGTTGATGAGTCTATTTTGGGTAAAAATAAATCTTCACTAACTTTCTCCATGTGAGTAAATATCTAGAAGAAAAAGTAACAAGTCTATTACCCAAACTAGGAGTTGATGGAGAGGGAATACTTGGCTTGATTTTTAGAATCTTTGTAACATACACATTTACTGTCTGCTTTGTGTTGTTTACGTTAAAACATATCTATTTTGTTTGTGTAGCCTGAAAGAACAGCACATTAAAAACTTTAGAAAAGCACTGTCTCCCCTTACCCCTCAGTGAAGACCCTGTTGCCACTTTTCCTACTTCCCAGACACCTGCACCTGCTGCTGAATGACAGTGGCCCGGCATGCAGGAGACCCTGGTGAAGGAAACCTCGTTTTGTTTTCATCCCTGATGCTTACAGGAGACAGGACCTGACTAGATTCAGTGCTTTCCTTTCTGAGAGTGAAGCTGTCTCTGGAGACTCAGGGCCTGGGCCATTTGTGTCAAGATAGGGTGCTGTCTTTGCCAGGGTCTGCTCTTCTCTGTTCACCCCTCCTCTCGCTCGTAGGACAGCTGGGCTGCTGCTTGTCATTGCATCACTGGTTTCCTGTGGTGGGAACAGACCAGTTGCCCATAGGAGCACCTAATCTCTCCTATTTCTATGCTCAGGTTCTCAGCTACCCAGCATATGTGCAAATATTCTTCTGCACAAGAGGCATATTTATTTCTGCATGAGGGTTGGTGGCCTCCAGACCACACACCTGACTGGCCAATTTCATTGCATTTGTAGCCTCCTTTGTTTGGGGAGAGTGGGTGAGATGGACTCTGCTTTGTCACAATGTTGTTCTCCTCTCCATGGGGCAGAGGGAGGATACACAAAGGAATATGTAGGACACTATTGATAAAATCCTTCTTCTCTCCCCTGAGATCTTGAGAGGCAGCCCTGACTCCCTTAAATACTGCTGGGTTTTCAAGGTGAATGTCACAAATCTGTGCTATTAAACTCACAGTGGTTTAGGTATATATAAAGATTATCATCACCTGGGGCTCTGGCAGTAAATAAGTTCAAGTTTTGACTAACTACAAGTTAAGTATTTGCTTTGTGGATTATCTGTGACCTATGTGAAATACTATACTGATCCATTCTCTTTCCCCTTTGCCTCTGGGCCATTTCTCCCATAAGGTGATAAATGTGTTCAAGAAACATAAATTAATCCTGAAATGAGCCTGGGGGTAGCAAGAAAATGTGCAGTAAAGATACTCACATAATAATGTCCCTAAATCCAATGGAAATTTGTATCATCTGTTCTTGAAGGTAATTTGTACCTTCTTTACCATAAATGTAGGACTTTTCATCAATAATTGATTGTTTCCTCTTAGTACTGTTATTTGTTTCACTTATTACTTGATGCGCTTCACTACATTTATGAAATAATTTCCCATGTTTCTTTTTCTCTTTTTCTCTCTCTCCCGTCACACTGCCTCCTTTCCCATCCTTTCCTCATGCCCCTCGCAGGTGTACCATAGATGACCGGGTCACCCGGGTAGCCTGGCTAAACCGCAGCACAATCCTCTATGCTGGAAATGACAAATGGTCCATAGACCCTCGTGTGATCATCTTGGTCAACACGCCAACCCAGTACAGCATCATGATACAAAATGTGGATGTGTATGATGAAGGTCCATACACCTGCTCTGTGCAGACAGACAATCACCCTAAAACTTCTCGAGTCCATCTCATAGTGCAAGGTAAGTCACAAGTGGACCAAAAGCCTGATCCTCCTCTTAGTGATGGAGGGTGCGAGTGATTTAGTCACTGTTCTAGCTGTATAGGAAGACACAAACGGTCATTTTCCACTGTGGAATCCAGGATCAAGACGTGAATAACTTCTAAAGGCTTCTTAGTGTTGTCTTTAGTGATTTTGTTTTCATCACTAAGTTGTTCTGCATGCACCAGTTGACTTCTCTTAAGTAACTTAGCTGTCTAGAGCTGGAGCAAGATATATCCAACATAAATACAGAACTATTTGAAGTGCTTTTTAATGATTTTCTGGGGTCTTGCTTTTTTAAAAAAGGAACCAATACTGATGTCCAAGCATGTGACTTGCATAGTTTCATAGTTGCGGCTGGCCGTGGATGTTCTGGATAGGGCTCTGCGTTCTGGTCATTTGGGTACCCATGGTGTTGTTCCTCAAAACCACATTGGAGGGGACTGTCAGTCCTGACAATATCTCCAGTCACTGTTGAAAATAAATCCACATAATTAAAAAGGAGTGGGGGGAGAATGGCTTCACATCCTGTTTTATCTCTTAAAAATCTGAATATAGCCAGGGCATAATGTCAATGTGAATTTTAAAAAATAGTTTTTAATTTAAATTATACTTTTTAGCAAAAAGCAGAGGTAAAGAAATATCAGAATTCCAGGTTACTGATATTAAATATTGAGGATTACAAACCTATAACAGAAAACAGTTCTGAGAGTATGAGAACCATTTTAAGACAAGGCAGCAATCCAAATGAACTTATTTTGGACCAATCCAACTGCCATAGCTATATAAAGCATTTTCTGTAGAATATTTTCTCAAGGTGGGGATGATGTTCCAGGAAGATGAGTTCTGTCCACAGAGGTGCATGCTTCCTGCGTCAGATGAGAAGATAGCAGACCTTTCCTATAGCATCCTGCACTCACTTCTTGGGGACACACAGTGAGTTTCCAGAAAGGGCCCCTGTGTAGGATTTAGTCCCCAGCAATTTCCTTTTATCCGATTCCATCTGCCATGGAATCCACAGATTTTTTTTAGATTATGAAATATGTATGGCACCCTTGCTTAGCTAAGAGGTTTCTTCATCTCTGCTTTTTAAAAACTGTGATGATACTCATTTCCGCTGGTTTTGTGGAGAAAGGTTGATTAGGGGTTGACATTTATTCATGCTCAGTACTTACGCAATTTGGGATCCCATTCTTCCCTTTGGTGGGAGCAGCTCTTTGCTAATGCAGCATCCATACCTACTCTGTGGGCCATTTGCAATGCATATGTTGGGCCAGAGATCTGTCTGATGCAACTTCTGTTCCCTAGCTGCCTCTGGGACCTGCATGTTGCTTGCAGCTTAGCTTCCATGCAGCCTTTGAGCCCTTCTCTCACTCTCACTTGCTTCCAGATGCACAGAAGGGCCACCACGTGACACATCTAGAGATGCTACTGATTCCCATTCTCCATACACACCGTGCCCAGGACTTCCTTGATCATTACTCTTTGGAGTCAGAAGGGTGCCATTATCTAGAGATAAAGAAGATGGTCATATCGAATCTTTCTTTTCAAAGCATGGTGGAGGCACCCAGTCTTCTCAGTCATTGGATACAGCTGGATATCGGCTAGAACTGTCTGGGGGTGTAGAAAACAAGGGCTCGCCAGTTCACACTGCCCCAGCTGCCACCTGGGTTTAGTTCCGAGGAGCTGAAATTCTCAGCAATGGAAATGACACCTCAGTGGCGCCTACATGGCCTTGACAGCAATAATGTCTGCACATTCTGGAGATGTGGCAATGAAATAAAAAATAACTGTCAGGTCCTGCACAGAAACAGCCTCAGACAAAGCGAGGTTATCACTCTTCAAGGAATATGACCAATTGTATAAGTCAAAGTCAATGCAAGCCATAAAGGGCTTCTGGTACAGGGCTTCTGTGATGATGCCTTTCATGATATAATTTGAGACACTCCTTGGGCAGGATGTAGAAACCTAGGATGTCCCCCTCATAGCCTCAGGTCAGGGAGAGTCAGAGGATGGGGGGCGCCACGCAGACTGGCAGGGCTAAGAGAAGCTCATGATCTCCACATTCCCAACAAAGAACTCAGTGGCTCTGGCCATCTGAGGGGACCTATGAAATCCAAGTGCAAACCATCAGGTGGGTGGAGGCGAGAGGGAAGACCCTAGCCTTGAAAGTCTGTCCAGGTATTTGGCTCTTTCCATCTACAGAGAGGCAGCTCAGGGACGTGCATTCCCTCCCTCTTGACTGACAATGCCGCAATGTATTCTTCCTTGGGAAAGCAATTAAATGACCAGGGGTGCACACCGGGACCCTAGCTCTCAGTGAGAGAGAAGACCAAGGGCTCTCCTGCTTCCCAGTAGCTATCAGCTTTTGTCCAGTCTATAGATTAATTTTTCAGACTTAGTGTTAGTTCAGGTTAGATAAAGATAATGAAAGTTTCCTAATCCTCTTAAAGAAGATTTATCTGACTGAGTAGAAAGCCTTTGGAATACAATAAGGCATGTATAAAACTGAGGCCTAATCTTCCCTTTAATTTCAAACTGCTGATGGGTATTGATTTTGCAATGAGAAAAACTGAAAAATTTCCGTGCTGCAACTTGTCTGTTTAAAAAAGTACACGTTTATTTATCTTCTGTCCATTTGGGAATGTTAATATCTCATTACTTCCACCAACCAGGTGCCATTAGCCAGAGAGAGTCCAGTCCCCTGGGGCTCCCAGCTCTGCTGTTTCTGGCAGTGTGAAGAATTGAGAGGCTCTGCCACTAACCTCAGCCCCTGTCCTTTACTGTTGTATAAGGCGGCTTCTGTCATATCTCTAGTGAGATTAATTTCCAAGTCTGTTTCTTTGCAAAAAGAAACTGCCTTTATTAAAATATGATCACTGAAACCCAAGGTACATCTCAGCTACTAAAGAGACTACTTCAAGTCACCTGTAAGCATGAGGGATAAACTGACTAGACCCTGTACTCAGATTTTAAGGAGACTTCAGAGCAGGGGCAACTGGTACTGCGGAGTTGGGTAGTCAGATTAGGAAATCCATACAGCAGTCTTGTGGAGGGTGAGCTGAAATGGAGACAAGACCAATGGAGGAATCACTCACCAGGTATGACAGTAGGGGACTGTGATTATGTAGAAATTGAGGAAGGCCTAAGAGATGTTGTCTGCTGTTGTTTGTGTATAAAATATCCCCCCAAAGTCTCATCTGTTCAGAGGTGAGGCTTTTGAACAGTGACCAGATCATCATTTATTTTCTTTTTGTATTTTTTTTTATTAGTGACATGTTTGCCACACATAATGACCAGATTTATCATGGGGGATTTGTACTGGTGCACAAATGAAGGCTCTAATTTCAGGAGTGGATTAATCCATTGAGAGATTCAAAATTTGATGGCTTTCCTCTGTAGCTCTTTCCCTCTCTCTGCTTTCTGGCTCTGGTGAGATGAGCAGCTTTCCTCTGCCATGCTCTTCTGCTCTGATGTTTCTGCCTCCCCACAGGTCTAAACTCAGCTGACCTAGGACTGAAACCTTTGTAATCCAGAGCCAAATAAAACATTTCTTCCTTAAAGTTGTTTTTACCAGGTGTTTTTTCACAGAAGTAGAATGAAACAAATGCATTACCCAAGGGAAATGGAAAGTACTAATCCTAATGCAATGAAAAAGGAAGAATTAAATGTATCACCCATGTATTTGAGTTTGGGAAAATATTGGTGGCCTTCTAGTAGCTGGAGAGGTAGGATACTGTAACACCTGGAAAGAACAGCTTTCAACTTACTAGGTTTGGGGATAAAGAAAACACAAATATTAAGTAGACACTGTAAAAAAGGGACAAGGTGTAAGTGGACACCAGAAAGTGTGATTGAGAATCAGTATGGATTTCCCAGCGAGAGAGGCTAGGTATTCCTTGAGAATAGCAAGAATTACACTGTGTTTTTCTCTATCTTTAGCACTTAGCACACTATCTGAACAGATGTTTGTTTGTAAGGTGAGCAGAAGAACACATTGATGCAGCAACTGAAACCTGAAACAGCATGAATGTGATGATCACAAAGCCCCTGCAGGCAAACAGGGGTGGGAATGAGCTGTCCCATGACTTGGCATGGACAGTCACCAGAAAAGCTCCCTGGAGGAAAAGGCATCTTGATCGGGATGCGTTATAACAGGGATAACACTGATTCCACACATGTATTTAGTACTTTACAGGGATGATCACAGTCTCTGTCATATTTAGCCTTCACAGTAAGTCTTGGGAGACTGCAGTACAATGACCATTTACAAAGTAGATAACTGCTGCTCCTGAAGGAGACCTGCCAGGGTCTCCAGTGAGTAAGTGGCAGAGATGTCTTGAAACTTGGCTGCTTGACTTCAAGATCATTGTCTTCCAAACACATTATAGTGTCTCCACTGCCAACCATTTCTAGTTATTTCTCTGCTCCAGATTATTGGGAAACCTCCAAGTTTCTTATAGATCATTTTATTTTACTTATTTCCTTTTTTCCCCTTTGCAGATATCACACTATACCAGCACAAATTAAAGACAAACTCAAGAAAGTTACCATAAATGGTGGATAGAGGTTGAGAGAGGCAGCAAAGAAGATAGTTAATTTTCTAGTAGCTCATCCCTTCAGGGATATACATTTTAAATGTTACCACTTTATCCTATGTAAGTACTGGAAACTCTGGTCCCTTTGAGGGCCCATGATCTAATTGTCATTCTACTCATCACTAACTCTTCAGCCTCCTGAAACTACTCAGAGATGTCTGTGGTGCTGGGGTTGGTGTTTATTAGGAACAGATAGAATAGGCAGAGCTGGCCTATTTTTGTTCCTTGAATACTGATATTATCCACTTACTATCTGAGCTAGCTTAGATGTCTGTTTACTACAAAGTACTTCATGAAATGAAGAACCCAATTTTATGCATATGGTTAGCAATAATGAATTGTGCTAAATTTTCTCATAAGAGAGTCCACAGAAATCGTATAC